TCCCACCCAAGTGGTTCCCCCTTCTCTCTGGAGCCAGATCTGATGTCCAGCCTACAAATATCCCATATGCCTTCTCTCCTGAGAGGATCCTGGAAAGATGAAGACAGCAAGCAAAGTACTTAATGGACAAACCTCTGAGATGGGACAATGTGTCCCCTTCCCAGGGACAAGCAAGTCTTCCAGCTGGATATTTTTTGCAGTTGTTTGTCCTCTTGTTTTAAGCCGCGCCAAGAGCCAGAGAGAATCAATATATCCAAATATACCAGACTTCTCCCAGAGTCCCTTTGCTGGTTTGCTGCTGATGTATAGACAGATGATCTCATGAGACCTCTGCCACATCAGGCCACTGTGTCTCATCTATCTTAAGTGCGTATACAAGCTGTGATCACTGCTGTGTCCAAGTGCCTCACGTCTGGAACGTATTTATCCTCCCATTGGTTCTGTGAGACAAGGGACTGCCATTGTACCTCTTCCAGGGAAGCCACGGAGGTTAAATGGACTGATCAGGGGATATCTGGGATGTGGAAACGTAGGGATCCTCTGAGGATCTCCCCTGCCTCTGCCTTGAAGCAACAAGGTGTCACCTGCCCCACAAATGACTGCTCAGACTCCGCACAGGATCCAGCTTTCAGCACCCAGCCTAATCCTGAGATTAATGAGGGATTCCCGCTACAGAGACCTCTCGATCAAACCTCTCACAAGTAAATACACCATCAAGCCAAACCATAATGTTTTCCTACCCTGGCAGCCGCTGTCTTAAGCCTCACACCAGAATCCATCATACTACAGCAATAATCAAAAACCAATTAGACAAAACTGTGGCAGAAAAGTCCATCAAGGGTTGTTAAGGATGACGACTTGGATGCAGCCTCTGGCTCAGGATGTCTGTGTGTGGCCAGGCGGATGAGCCAGTGGAGGGATCCACATGCCCTCACCTAGTTTTACACCCTTTCTTTGTGCCCCTGGCCCTGGCATGGCAGGACAACCACACTTTGCCTCCCCCTCATTACTGTTGAGCCATGTCTGCTCCTCCTGGGACAGAGGCTGCCGAGCCTTCATCCCTCCTGGAAGATCCCTCACTTCAATTCCTTGGCACGTTTCCTGAGCTAAATGGGAGGCATGACGAGTCTCGTGTCTGCAGCACAGATAAATATCCCCTGGACAGCTCAACATGGTGCCACTCGCTCTGCCAGGGCTCTGGCGTCACCCTGAGCCCGGCAGCCCGGGATGCCAAGAAATCCCAGCCTTCATCCACTGAGAAATGAAAACTGGCCTGACAACATGACAATCGCCATGACAACATCAGAGTTACCCCCAAAAAAATAAATAAAAAGCCCAGTAACTATGGAAACACCTGAGTGACCAAAACCAGGCTAGTAACTAGAAGACCTCACTGCAGTTTACAGATGGCATTGGCACTGCGGGGCTGTGATACATCCAAAGCCTTGGAAACATAGAGATGCTCAGCACCTAAGGGTGCAAAATGAATGCTCATGGGCACACACAATGCTGCCTTTCAGACCCCTGAAGCCAAGTCCTCTTCACAAATTCCACCTCCTCTGGAAAGATGCTGCTGCCTTCCTGCTGGGTGTTACATCCAGACCATGGTTATCCACATCCTTCTCTCCCTCTTTGCCTCTTTCCCCTCTCTCCACCCTGCTGAACATGCCTCCCTTGATTGCCATCTCAATAATCTTGGCCTGACAGGGGTGCCAAGAAGGGATGGAACAGCCCCATCCCATGCCAGAGCTTGGCATCCCCATATGGTTTTGGTGAGCTGCGTTTTGAAGCCTCAGTGCCTGGCAGCTCAGCTGACACTTGTGCTGCCAGTTGGAGCAGCCAAGCCCAGGAAAGAGCCTCAAAGCAGTTAGGCCTCCTCTGGAGAGGCAGAAGAAGCTGAGACTCCACCAAATCCTCTTCTTTTTCCGCCTTAGCCTGTTCAGCTGCATTAATGGGAGTTGCTGTGGGTTGGTACAGCATTAGTGGGAGAAGAAATAAAATAGAACAGAGGGGGTGAGGCAGAGGGACAGAAGATAGATTGTACACATTGGTTGTACTGGTCATGGGTTCAAAAAATCCTTCTCCAGAGCCAGCATAGTGCTTTTGCTTTTGGCAGGAGATGGGCACAGGTAGGGCCAGGCACCATGCAAGGCTCTGATCAGTGATGGAGGCACTGATGGGACCAGCACTCTTGTGATTCACTGGCAGAAAACTCTCTTGCTCAAGTTCACTCAGCTCTTGAGTTATCCCATGAAAATGCTCTCCTCAGCCCAGCTGCAGGAACTCCCCCAGCCCCCAAACCAAACAGAGCCTCAAAAACCAGCCTCCCAGAACATGGCAACGACTGCAGACAGGAACATTCAGCAGAGTTCACCAGCCCAAGCCACTAAACACATATTCATCAGAGCAGAGAGGGAACAGCTGAGCGGTCAGGGGAGCCTGGAGTCACTGGAAAAGGGTCTCCAGTGGGATCAGCCCTCAGGGAGCTGTGCTGCTCTGGGTGTAGATCCTCTGAAGGACCTGATCATGCGCTGCCCTGGTGAGCAAACACTCTTATTTACTCCATTTCCCCCCAAGAGCTGTGCAGTGGGCTCACAGCTGCCAAGGAAATAATAAACCCCGTGAAGTGCCTTTGCATGGAGCAGCAGCATCAGCATGGGATCAGTCCTTCAGCTCCCGGGGTGCCCGTGCCTGGCACAGACAGCGCTGGCACAGCCTGTCCCCAGCGATGTCGGTGAGAGCTGCTTACCATCCGCTGTGTAAACCCTTAAATTATGCACCAGCACTCCCTGAACCAATTCTCCCTCATCCCTTTCCTCCACCACTCCAAGCAGACGGAGGAAGACAGCGAGAAGGAACAGGAGGCGTCTCACTCGAGACTTCCCGTGGGACGAGTAGTGGACCAACAACTGAGAGAGGGGCCAGCAGCAAGCTTTGGGTTTCACTTGCTCCCAGCTCTCCAAATTAGAGTATATCCTACTAGGAAAAGGGATACCGTCCTGGCACCTGCTATAGCACCTCTATGCATCTTCCCTGGCTCTCATTTCAGTCCTCATGCTTCCCATCCTTGTCTTTGCTGCGTGTGGTGAATGCAAAATGGGGAAGTAGAGGTTCCCCTTGGTGGCTTGGCAGATCCATAGACAGAGGAGCTGCCCATGGAGATGGACAGCCATGGAAGTTGTCCTGGGTCACCTCTGGGCTCAGCACCTCCCATCAGCAGGAGACCAGGCTCAAGTAAATCTCTGTGATCATTTGTTCCCTTTGAGTTTTGAAAGCAGAATGCCTAATCATGGCCAAAATCAGGAAGGAGCTGCTGCTGCAAATTACACAGCGCCACAGGTAATTTCTGATTAGCTCACTCTTCCTCTCCTGGTGCATCCTCAGTTTCCATAGCAGCTAAGTCCTAAGTAAAATGGAAACATCTGGTTCAAGCGCAGGTAAAGATTCCCTGGGGAAAAAAACCTGCTGGATGGCAGCAAACACAGAAAATAGCCCTCGTGAAAGACAGAGGCATCAGGAGCCGGGAGCCTGGTTAGGAGAGGATGGATGGTGTGTGGGAGAAGGCAGTGAGGGGCACGGGAGTGGGAGAAGAGGGTCCTGGGGGAGCTGGAGGGGATGTGGGAAGGTGAGTGGAGCTGTGGGGAAAACAAGATGCATGTGACAAACAGGCGGTGAGGAGGCTGAGCAAAACAAAAACATGTTGTCAGGGTAGACAAGGGGAAGAGGAGGAAGAAAAGACTTTGAGGTGGGAGCACATGGACTGCCTCAACCATAAATGCTGCCTGGTGGTGACAACTTTGATTCCATAGAGACACTCAGGGATGGGGAGGAGCAAACGGATCTGCACCCTGAATTTCATCAGTTATCCATGCAGAGACCTCAACTGAAGCCATCTTGCTGGAAGCAAGATCACCTGCAGTGGATGAGGCAACACGTGCACTGGGGGAACAGTTTTTACAGAGACCCCTGCCAGGGGAAGGGGCCGAGATGCCACCAACTCAGCTCGCTCTGTGCCTGGGCTTTGGGGAGTGATGGATCAGGCCCAGCCGTTCCCTCCAGCGCAGACAAACAGTAAAAAATCAATGGAGCTGCAGCGAGACACCGCAGCCATCATCAGGCAGCAAAGGGAGGAGCGGCCACGGCGCCATCCGTCACTGCCGCCCCTGCGCCGGACAGCCCGGACGGGCGTCCCCGAGGAGAACTCGAGGCAATTGTCTGCAACAACAGCCCACACTGGTAAAACCTCAGGGGAAACACGACTCTGAGGTGGAACTGAAGTGCTTAGACAGGATCAGAGGAGCAGAGCCACGCAGTGACGCTCGGCCGCACGGCTCATCCCACCCAGAGCCCCCCGGATCCCACCCCCGGCTCACCCACGAGATCCTCGCGGCCACAGGGGGATAACAGGGCAGCAAAATGCAAAGCAGAGGCCAAAAAGCAGCTGGGGAAAGGGTTTGAAATTATACGCTCCCGAACGCATGGGAATTTGCTTCCCAGCAGTCACACCCACACAGTTCTGCTGAGGCTTTGCTTACCAATTAACAAGGCCACCAATTAATGCTTCATGTGTTTTCCTGCTCATTTGCACTATTTACAATCTTCCTTTGAAGCAACGTGTAAGAATTGCCTGAAAACTTCTCAAAACAGGGCCAGACAAGCACGTTCAATGTGCAGTGGGGGTGCCCCGTGCAGGAGCTCCATGATCCTCGTGGGTCCCTTCCAACTCAGGGTATTCCCCGATTCTCTGAATCTCTGAGCATGACAACCCCAACCTGGCACCTACAGCCAGTCCTCCACCCGACCAAAACCATAACCTGTCCTTCCAGACCACCAAGATGGATGTTCCTCTACCAAAGTCAACAACTCCTGCATTCAGTCACATCTTTTCCGTTCACCTTCACTTTGCAACTTCACCTTCACCAGCTACAGACGCCTCTCTGGCTGCTCACAAATGCTACTGTGCCCCTCCCAGAATATCTCTGGGAGTGTTTGGTTCTTACCTTTGGGTGAGATATGTCTCCAGGTGATTGTTGGATCTGGCCTGCCCGTGGCTATGCAGGTGAGGCTGACGTTGCCGCCCTCATTGATGGAGATGTCAGGAGAGATATCGGTGATTTTTGGAGACACTGCAATGACACAAAGATGAGAAGGAAATTGAAACCGGTTCTGCTCCAACTCAAATCTCAAGCTGTGGGTGAAGGAGACTGAATTTCCCTCCACCTTGACAAGCTATGCAGTAGCCCATCAGTCTCATCTGACTTGGCAGGAGCTCACAGGGAAAAGAGGGGGCAGAGAAGACAGGGCTGAAGTGGGAAAAAATTGTAGCCAGAGGGGATTCAGCCATTTTAGGGAGGCTCGAGAAGCTCCTCCTCAGCACCTCCACAGTGTGTGAGACAGTGCTTCTTCCTATTCCACTTCCAGCACTCCTTGTGTCCTCTCAGCCATGACAAACCCTTCCCAGCAGAGCTGCATCCCGAGAAAACACCACCCACCCCTTCAAACTCCTGCAGCTGTGCAGGATCTCTGCCAGGCCCTTGTAACCAGAGAAGCACCAAGAGGAGCTGGGCATGGAGACAATGAGTCTGCCAAGGAGCCTGTAAGTTCTACCAGCATGCAAAGGAAGGGAAATTCCATGGGGATGGAAGCCATGCCACTGCACTGGCACTGCCATCATGAACACTCAAGAGAGGGTCAGATCTGAGGGGTCCAGGGCTAAGGAGAGGACAGGGGGAGATGAGGAGGGGGCTGGAAAGGGATGAGGAGCAAGCAGGGAGCACTGGGCTCCTGCTGCTGTGTGAGCAGAGGACACGGTGCGGCTGCCAGGGAGGGCTGAGGTTTCCAGGAGCACCACGGTGGGGCTGTACAAGGAAAAACGATCAGCTGCTCTTATCAGCCTGCACCTGCAGAACATAATAAAGACCATCACCTTCCTGGGTTTATTTCTAAGCTTTCTCGGGAGCCCAGCAGTGGATTGGCCCCCGCCCTGTGGCGCTTTGCAGGAGAGGCACAAATCACTCCAAAGCACCCTGCTCCTTCCATCCATCACCCCGCCCCCAGCTGCAGCCCAGACCATCGCAACACCCCTGTTCCTGGCTTGGACCCCTCGCTCCTCAGCACCCCTTCCCTGCCTCTCCCCACCTCCCACACCTTCCCGGGCTGCTCCGAGCCGGAATGACTGCAATGGCCTTGCACGCAATGCCTCTGCTGTGCAGGTAAGTAATTTATTGATCCGTAAAGCACTCCAAGACGCTCTGGAAGGGATTATGTCATGCCAGTGCCGTGCAATAAAATAAAAAATGATGGATTTTTTGTGAACATGATGGTGATTTAGGGTTTGTAGTTTGAAGTGTAGTTAAAGTACATTTTAAGTGGAAATCAAGGTGGGTAATGAATTATTCTCTGTTTTGAAGGGCTTCTGGGAGTTCATTTTTTTTGCTGCTCTGGGCACAATGGCTAATCTGCTAATCATGCACTGGAGAACAACTATGGATCAGATGCTCCCAAACAGTGGGGGCTCTGGGGCAGGACAGTGGAGGGCATGAAGATGACACCAAAAGAAACATTAATATGCATCGGTGTCATTAAGGGGACAGCACAGCTCTCCTGGGGCCACCCAGAGCTGGGAGATGCTCTGCCCATGGCCAGGTATTCCACTGAGGAGAAGCAATTAATTACAGCAGTGCTCTGATTACCCTGCTGTATTCCTGCTGGGACTGCCAGCCAGGAAATCCACGTGTGCTTTAAAAACATGGAGCTTATGGGCTGGACAACAAAAATAGGCCATGGTGGTATTACCACTTTGGAGAGGTGGGAAGAGACAAGCACAGACAAGTGGATCACCCACCATTGCCTGGGAAGCACCAATAGCTTCCAGCTCTAAGTCCTGACAAACTAGAGCAGCATCCATAACCTTTAGTGTGCTGTTTGCTGCATCACAGAGGAACCCTTCTGATGTTTTTAACTGCTGAACCCACCTCGACCCAATTCAGCTTGTTTTGCAGAGACTTTAAAAAAAAAAAATTAAGTCAGACTTTGAGCTGCTACTCTGGAACTGCACAGGCAGGTTTGCTCCCACTCAGGAGAGAGAAAAGAACTCAAGTGACCAGATTATAAAACATAATCAAAACAAATTAAACTTGGGTTTCACTGACAGGACAAGTGGGAATGGTTTTACCTGAGGAGGGTTGATTTAGAACAGATACAAGAAGTTTTTTACTATGAGGGTGGGGAGGCCCTGGCACAGGTTGCCCAGAGAAGCTGTGGCTGCCCCATCCCTGGAAGTGCCCAAGGCCAGGTTGGATGGGGCCTGGAGCAACCTGGGCTAGTGGAAGGTGTCCCTGCCCATGGCAGGGGGTGGAATGAGATGGTCTTTAAGGTCCCTTCCAACCCAAACCATCGCATGATTCTATGAAAAGCAGCTCAAGCACCAAGGAAAAAGCCCACCAGAGTCCAGCAAGTTCAGGACACTCTCAGGGAGATGCAATTCCCTGTGTCCCATCTGGAATGAGAGGAGGCAGGAATGGCTGGGAAGCAAACCAGAGCAACAACATCATCGGAGCTGTTAACTAACCCTGGAATGAACTATGCAGTGGTAGGATTTAACACGGTGGGTATTGTATGCTAATTAAATGTTTGAATATTTAACCACACAAACTACTCCAAATGCCTTTCTGGAGGCTGAACAGGTGTGTTGTAAAGCCTTTACCACACCGGGGAGGGAAACCTTAATAAAGTGATCCAAGAATATATTTAATATTATTTAACAGTCATCACTTCTTCCATTCCCTCTGCATTAAAGGGCTTTTACCATCAGCTGGCATTTCTGCAGCACTGGGGCAGAGGAGACATTTCCTGTGCCGAAAGCAGGATGCAGATGGAGCTGTGCCCCTTTGGGAATGAATAAATAAATAAAGCTAAGTAAATGCAGGCTTCCCAGGCGGGAACCCTCTCCTTGCGGGCAGTCCTTTTGTGTTCAGCATCTCCCTCGCTCAGGAGTGATTAAACATGGCAGTGTTGGCCAAGCTGCTCCAGTGACACAGCACAGATTTCCCCAGAGGCAGGATGGTGGTTTATCGATCCAACTTCTTTCTCCCCTCACTCCCCAACCCTGCCAGGGTGCTGGGGGAGGTCTCTGGGCTGCTCTCAGCCCTCCACAGGTGCTCAGGGCGTGCCCCCAGCTTGACTCCTTGCACACATGGAGTCCCCAGGACAGAAAGCAGCTTGCTTAAATATTTAACCAAACCATCTGGTGCGTCACACGTTCGAGGGTGTTCAGTCAGGTGATATATGTCCTTACGGAGCCAAGCATATGTGCTTGCCTCCACAGATAGATTCCCTGGCGCACAGACACCCTCCTGCCACTGGCACAGACAACATCCCTGCTACGCTTTCACCTCCAAACACCCGCTCCAGAGCCAGCACAGGTGCAAAAGCTCACTTATCCCAAGCACGTACCCCACGGCAGCGCTGCGCACGGATCTTCATCTCCCAGGAGTGCTGCAAGGCTCCCCTTGCACCTACACCACCTCCTCTGCTGCCTCTCCCACGACACTCACTGCAGGACTGATCCCTGATTACTCCTCCAGCTGCCTTTTATAGCTTATCCCAAATTACATAAACATCCCTAGCTTTGCCTCGTTGCTCAGGCCCTGCCATCTCCATGTGATCACCTCCCCACCCACCCTCCTGCACGCATGACCCTGCTGCTTGCCTGGGCTTCCCTCTCCCTGACACTCCTGGCACCCTAAATTTCAACCATGCATCAGGCAAGGAGTCCCCTGAGTACAAGGGAAGTGTGGATGTGGAATAACCTCTCCACCAGAGACTGGGAAGGAGACCTCAGATGAGCCTCACCAAGCTGGGGGCCTTTCAGGGAGTAACTGCATATTTTTGCCTTAACCACCCCCTTTCTACCCGCTTTTGGGAATCAAGGAAGTAGTGCAGAAATACACCTGTGATCTTCCCAGACCTGCAAACCCCTTCTGGTGTGGCAGTGAGGCAGAGCAGGTGTTATCCCAGAGAAGGGGACTCGCAGCCCCCGGCACAGCCTGGGAGCGAGCAGCATTCCCGGGAAGCCTCGCAGTGCCTGCTTCCCCTTCATAAAACATGCAAACCTCCATCTTCCAGCACGAGCAGCATCTGCTCCAGATCAAAGGGAACAACAAAGAACAACTATAAAAGTGTCTGGAAGAAAGAAAAAGAGGCAGAGTCAGACTTGCGTTCTGCAGGCGATCTGTGATGTGCACTGGCAGCTTCCTGAGCATCAGCCTGACGCTGCTCCCGCTTTAATAACAGCTTCTTACTGCTGTCACACAAGAATTCCCTGTGTTTTACAGAGTTTGCTACCACGGGTCCTGCCTGTGGGATCTGGGGAGGGGGAGTCCTGGCTGTGCTGGGTATCCTTGCAGCAATGCTGTGAGTCAAACCAAGCCCCCACTCCAAGATCCGAGGGGTCTGCAAAAGTCAGATGGGATCAAGCACAAGGCAGGGACTCCAAAATCAGGCTCCAGGACTCCTACAGGTTGTAACCAGAGTGGTTTGCAGCTCCCAGGTTGGAGAAGGAACAATGCTCAAGCTGCTGCAGTGCCAGGCACCTCCATTATGCCTTCTCCCTCCTTTGTGTTCCAAAGCTTTCTGCCTTTAGGGAGCAAATTGAGAGCCCTGTGCCTTCAATTACAGGTGTGTTATAATGGGCTTTTAAATCAGTTTGTGCTGCTTTAACACAATCATAATTAAGAGAAAAGCAGAGAGGGCTTTGTCCTTGCATCATACCAACCTTCCATCCTATCATCCTTTCATCACATCATCCTTCCATCATATGCTCCCAGCTCAGGAGCCCTTTTGAGGATGCCCACAGGGTGTGAGGAAGGGCAAACACAGCCTTAGAGCCTGCTTGGTCACATAGATTTGTACACAAACCCCTCGTGTGCTGATCCTTCCCCCCAGGGCTGCCTGGACCCCGGGTTGGCACCATCCCCCCCTTCCCATGTTCGGCCCAGCTTTGCCCAGGGATCGATCCCCCCTCTTCACAAAGCTGGCAGCAGGCAAAGCCGTGAAGAAAGACGGCTGGAAACGAAGAGGACATACATAACAACCTTAATAAGCAATTAATAAATAACTAATGACA